TATTTCATTGTTAGGAATTCAATACCAATTAAAAATCAATAAGATCATGTTAGTCATAATTGAAATAATGCCAAATAGTTTGCTTCAACGGAATATTTTTACTAACCTTATTGATTTTTTTAATATTCAGGTGCAACTTCATTGTACTTGCTGCCCATGATAGTTTTATTTCAGTGATTCTCGGTAGATTTATTTTCTTTTTATTTTACATAAAAATAATACTGCTTTTAATTGATGTTTCCCAGGAATTTCCTTTTTCCATTTTGATGATTTGCTGGGGGTTATGTCCCTTTGGTGGTATTCACAGTGGATCTGTGCTGTGCATGTGATTTGATCCATGAGGGTGTGTGATTTGCAATATGGCTATTTCTGTTTTTATGACCCCACAATTTCATGAGGGTTGGTGAGGGAGGAGAAGCAGTTGAAATAAGGCATATAGTGTTAGTGTTAATGCCTATACCCATCCATTCTGTCTTGCATTGAGTTCAGAAGCAATATTTTGAGAACCTCTCTATGGATTTTGGTTTCCCTGTAGTATTGAACGTTAAGATTCATCGGATTCTGGTTTGCTTAAGAACTTTCTTGACATATACCGATTTTCAATTTTGGGTTTTACAACTTTGTTTTGTATTGTGACTTAAGTATACATTTTGCATTGTGTCCTTGAGTGCATTACTATATTTTGGGTTATATTGTTGCCTCCATCATGTGACTGTGGAGTGACATTGTTTTGTGTAGCAGATAAATTTTACACTGTGTTTTGTGTTGTTGCCTGGCACTTTCACCATGTGAATGTGTAGTAACTATGAATTTTACACTCTTTTTTGTGTCGTTGTCTTGTACATCCACCATGTGACTGTGTAGTGACTATGAATTTTACTCTATATTTTGTGTCGTTGCCTCGTACTTCCACCATGTGACAGTGGAGTGACTTTGTTTTGAGTGGTAAATATGATTTCTACACCATGTGACTGTGTAGTGACTATGAATCTTACTCTATATTTTGTGTCGTTGCCATGTACATCCACCATGTGACTGTGTAGTGACTATGAATCTTACTCTATATTTTGTGTCGTTGCCTTGTACACCCACCTTGTGACTGTGTAGTGACTATGAATCTTACTCTATATTTTGTGTCGTTGCCTTGTACATCCACCATGTGACTGTGTAGTGACTATGAATCTTACTCTATATTTTGTGTCGTTGCCATGTACATCCACCATGTGACTGTGTAGTGACTATGAATCTTACTCTATATTTTGTGTCGTTGCCTTGTACTTCCACCATGTGACTGTGTAGTGACTATGAATCTTACTCTATATTTTGTGTCGTTGCCTTGTACTTCCACCATGTGACTGTGTAGTGACTATGAATCTTACTCTATATTTTGTGTCGTTGCCTTGTACACCCACCTTGTGACTGTGTAGTGACTATGAATTTCACACTCTTTTTTGTGTCGTTGCCATGTACATCCACCATGTGACTGTGTAGTGACTATGAATCTTACTCTATATTTTGTGTCGTTGCCTTGTACACCCACCTTGTGACTGTGTAGTGACTATGAATTTCACACTCTTTTTTGTGTCGTTGCCTTGTACATCCACCATGTGACTGTGTAGTGACTATGAATTTTACACTCTTTTTTGTGTCGTTGCCTTGTACATCCACCATGTGACTGTGTAGTGACTATGAATTTCACACTCTTTTTTGTGTCGTTGCCTTGTACATCCACCATGTGACTGTGTAGTGACTATGAATTTCACACTCTTTTTTGTGTCGTTGCCTTGTACATCCACCATGTGACTGTGTAGTGACTATGAATTTCACACTCTTTTTTGTGTCGTTGCCTTGTACATCCACCATGTGACTGTGTAGTGACTATGAATTTCACACTCTTTTTTGTGTCGTTGCCTTGTACATCCACCATGTGACTGTGTAGTGACTATGAATTTTACACTCTTTTTTGTGTCGTTGCCTTGTACATCCACCATGTGACTGTGTAGTGACTATGAATTTTACACTCTTTTTTGTGTCATTGCCTTGTACATCCACCATGTGACTGTGTAGTGACTATGAATTTTACACTCTTTTTTGTGTCATTGCCTTGTACATCCACCATGTGACTATACCTAGTGACATTACTTTGAGTAGTAACTAGGAATTTAACTCTATATTTTCTATTGTTGCCATATTTCCGCTGTGTAACTATGTTTAGTGACTTTGTTTTGCGTAGTGATCGTGATTTATTGGGAAATGCTGGATTTACGAGTGTCACCATCTTACATCAGAGGACCTAACAGAAACAGATTGATGTGCATTCAAGTACACACTAACTACAGGGACCGGCTGTTCTGTACAGTAACCCATAGTAGCTTGTCCGATCTGTTTACATCAAATTAAACATGAGGCTTGTATGCTGAGGAATTTATGGTCGACAAGATGAACCAATTTATATTTGAGAATGGGAAGAACACGATGGGGATTAGTGGTACACACTTTCCCATAATTGTGTTTCTCTCTGTAGGAAACATAAAGAACACATGACATTCTATTGATCTTGTTATATGTGGTAGGGGTCTATGTTGTCTTTGCCTGGTTGTTACACCCTACATATTGTGTAGGATGAGCCCCTCCATGTCTATAGACATTTTCCTACATCTTCATGTGAACAAGTTTTTGACAAATTTGATTTGGATTTGTCACTGAAGGGCCTAGAATGTCTGTAAATAATGGGTTAGTTTTAGCCTATAGTGATGACTAGACTTTACGATGACAAACCATTAATAAATTCATATACTTGTAACGATATAAACATAAGCATTATTCACGTTTGTGGCAAGTTTTGGTGGAAACAGTATTTTATCTTCATATCTCCGTGTCTTGACCTTGTGCAGTTTTTATATCTGTATATTTTCGCTTGCGTGATTTTAATCTTCCATCAGTCCATCACAGTTTTAAATCTTTTCTAGTTCAGTCAACAATTTAGATTCTGTCTGTGGCAGATAACCATTAGTTGCCCCATTTTAATGGTTTTATGGTCGTTAATGCTTTAAGGGAATGAACAGGCCATGCATCGAACCATACAATTATTGCATGCAGAATTGTTATTAGGAGTCAATTGATTAGAGAATGAAAGTTACTTCCCTTATGAAAATCTGGATGCGACCTTGATTTAGAAATGGTCATTATTATGACCTAGTTGCATTGAAATGGGACTTGTGTGTGAAATTCATTTTCCAGGTACATGGCCATCATATGGAAGCATATTTCATTTCTTTATTATGCATGGAATTGTAATAATACATATAGTGGTGCAATTTAAATGTGGTATCCTCCACCTGATTAAAATCTTAGTGAGGACATGGCTATCAGGCGAGATCATTATATCGAGGGATTTTTATAGGGCGGAGGTAATTATCTATCTGATTTTTATTATTTATTTTGTTGGTACAGTGTAAATATCAAGTGAAAATCAGGGCTGTTTGTTTCTTCTTGAAGATCACAGATACCCTGCCTCAAAATAACCAACAAACAAATCTTTACTCGGTTAGCTGTGTCCGATCAGGTGAAACTTGTACCTCAATCAACAGATTATAACAGTTAATTACAGGTAGACATGCAGCACAAAGCAGTGGTATCAGAAAAATTATAATAGTGGTGTACATCTGACAGGTGAAAATACTGTTAATTACTGTTGTTAATTACAGGTAGACATGCAGCACTAGGCAGTGGTATAAGAAAAATTATAATAATGGTGTATATCTGACAGGTGATCATACTGTTAATTACTGTTGTTAATTACAGGGGATAATACTGTTAATAACAGGTAAAAACAGAACATCAGGTAGTGGTCTACATCCGACAGGTGATAATACTGTTAATTACAGGTAAACATGTAGTATCAGGTAGATACATCCTTGTTGTTTGATCTGTGATTGTGTTAAGTGATAAGTCAATAGAAATGTCTGTGTTATATTTGTTTAGAAACAGACACTAGATCATACAGGTGTAGCACAACTTTTCGCACCTGTCTGGCAGATTTCCTGTCCGAATACTTTGTTGATCTTTGTCAACTCTGATAATCTCCCTTTATACTCACTTCCTCTTGAGTAAATATCAATTCTTAGTATTGAGTTTGTAGTCAGTTATAGGGACAGTGTCATAATCTAACAACTAATGTCAGAGTTTATCACCATTAAACACTTCATATTGATGTGACCCTGTCTAATTTCTATACATCAGACAAACTTTCCCAAATTAAACTATTGATGTGACCCTGTCTAATTTCTATACTTCAGACAAACTTTCCCAAACTAAACTTTTGGTGTGCGGTTGCTATATTTGGTATTAAATCTGTAGGTAGTAAGACAGTATAATGTCTGCTAGTGGTACAGACATGTGGTTTAAGAAATTATTCTAATGAGGTCTGTACTCATTGTCATAACAGTGTACACTGACACCATGGTTACTGTACAGTTTGGAAGTGAAGTACATTTTGATAAATTTGATTTGAGGTCAGTGTACTTGTAAGAAAAGACTACGTGAGATTCCCTGGACATATATGAACGCAGTGTTGATATTAAGTGTGGGTGTACATACACATTCCTGATGATGTACTGCTCCATCAGCAGGAGATGTTAAAAGCTGTCCACTTTAAAAGTCCTCCTCGGAAACGGAAAACAGTTGATATTTGACAGCTGACTCCAGATACCTTATACCAGTCTCCATGTTCTACATTAGATAGAACAGAGACGGTCATTATCAGTCAGCAGAATACAGACAAGTATACAACATTTCAGATCACACTCTGTACTTGAATCCATCTATAATGATAAGAGAAGGAGAGATGTCATTGTAAGACTTTAGACAACCTTGTTAGCATATTGTGATGACATGTGAGAAATCACTGCAGATTGTTTAATAGACTTTTTGTAGAAAACTTTCTTTTTCTTTACATCTTTTTTAGATACTTAAGTTTAATATTCATTGTTTACTTGCAGATTCTTCCTATGAGAAGATAGTCCATGAGCGTCGTGGGAGTATGCCATTGGTGTCAGCGGGACTGGACGACGAAAACATGGACACCACCTCCACTCCATCCAAAATAGCAGTGAGTACATCTCTACATAACATTTTAGTTGTGTGCATCATGCTTGAGATGCTGGTAGGATTCCCAAAACAGTTTTGGAGATATGGGATATTCATTGGAGAACATGAGCATTGTATTAAAAAGTCTTAGGATTTGTTTTTAAAGACGTAAGAAAATATTATAGATATCATGTTATTTAATGCCTAATTTATTTTAGAGATATAATAAACCAATCTTCATGCAAATTGCTGAAATTTCATGTTGTTCAAATAAAATATCTGCATTTAACATGAAAGTATAGCAAATGTGTTGAGATTTCTAACATGTGTGTTTATATTGCACCAATATAGACTTTAAAATGGTCCTTAGGTGGAAATTATTATTGTTAAGTGACCAAGAATTCAATTCAGAGATGACATGCTCTAGTAAATACACATTGATACACAGTCAAGTTTTTTGACTGTCAGAGTTCCTTCAGTGATGAGTCTGACTATAATCCTTCTAGTGCTTCACTTAGTCTGCAGGAATCAACGGGAGTTATCCCCCTTCTCATACAAAGCAATATACCTCCATCTTGCAGAATTAAACAACGTTGGCTCAGTTTTTCAGAATGTATAATTTCTTCAGAAATGTTGGGTGTGTGATGTAGTGTGTAGATGTTTGGCAGTATAAGTGTCTAGCATGTAAGCCTCTAGGAACAGATGTATCCTGTCTGATAGGTGACCACAAATATACACAGGACTCTGATCACTGCAGGGCAACGGTAGGGTAGTACTTTTAGGATTACAATTGTTGATAGTTGACTGCAAACATATACAGGACTTTTTATTATAACCACATCCTGGTAATAATTCTGACCACAGGACTACAGCAAGGTGTAACTTCTGAGGTAACGATAGGAGGAGTCTTCAGTTTGTGGTAGGCCACTAGTTGAAAAGGCCTCTGGACAAGAACATATTCTAATGGGATAGCTACCTTACTGGGACTAAAATGTAATACGAATTTTTAAAAAACAACATGTCCAATAACTGTTTGATGTGAAATCAGCAAGGAAATATGAATGCAAGTTTCTTTAAAACCAATACAGTAGCTTATATTGATCAAACTGCCTTTGCATGGCATCTAGAAAGCAGGAGATATCATTTGTACAATATAAAATGCATCGTGTGCACACCTGAACAGCAACCTCAAAAAAATTAAAGGAAACTTGTGAGCGCCTGAGCTTTCACTATTGATTAAATTATGCAGGGAGAATCTTAAATTACATGATGTTGAGCAATATAACCTGTGACTATTGAACAGTGTAAGGTTGTTGGTTCTGCACACATGGGTTTTATGGATGGCTAGAGACATGAAAGATTTACCTGTAAATTAGGGTACTGTACTGGGCAGCTGATCAAACACAGATCAGATGTCCAACACTTTGGTTTTACCGTGCAGAGTTTTATTGGGCACACGAACCCCACACCTGTGTGACGAGGGGACACATGACCCCTGAAACACCTGTTTGATTAGGGACCTTTAAGGTCTTGTCCACTGACAGACTCTTCAGTGATGGCAGTATCTTGTAGATGCTAGGGACCTTTCAGTAACATTTTACTCTCTTGTCAAGTTGAACTAAAATTTCTAAATTAATTCTTAGGCTGTGTATTCTTTACTACATCTTTCCTATAAAAGGTTCTACCTGTATAAACGAAAGGTAATGAAAGTTATTTCCTTATTAAGTAAAGTCATTGACTTGTCCGAATCAGGTTGGTCTAATAAATAAAGTCATGCTTCATAAATTTCTGATAACAGGCATTCCTAATTCAATTCTGTATTAAAATGATACAAAATCTAGTACCTTTAAAGACTAATTAATCTGATGGAAAGAAGTGGGTACACTGGGGGATGTTTACTGACAATATTTCTATTGCAATAAGCAAAGGGGTCAAGGCATCAGCTTTGACAAAAAATAGAGGGTGCATTGGCTTATTTCAGGACAAGATTTTTGAATCTCTACTAAACTCCACTAAGCATTTAGATGGGCTTATTCCTAGGCATGGACAAATTGCTAATGACATACAGCAGTATGTATGTACTTAGAAAATATATGGTTAGTGTCTTTATTAAAGGCGGATGGGGTGAGGATTGTGGAGGGGTAGGGGGGAGGGTGAAAAATATCTGTCCCAAGACAAAATACAGCATATATTATTGTGATCAGGCAGTGTGTGTTTGACCTGACGTTACACTGTGTGATATTAGGATCAGTCCGTGTGTATTTGACATGACGTTACACTGTGTGTGATATTGTGATCAGTCCGTGTGTATTTGACATGACGTTACACTGTGTGTGATATTGTGATCAGTCCGTGTGTATTTGACATGACGTTACACTGTGTGTGATATTGTGATCAGTCCGTGTGTATTTGACCTGACGTTACACTGTGTGTGATATTATGATCAGTCCGTGTGTATTTGACCTGACGTTACACTGTGTGTGATATTGTGATCAGTCCGTGTGTATTTGACCTGACGTTACACTGTGTGTGATATTGTGATCAAGTCATGTGTTTCTAAACCTATGTCACAAAATGTATGATTCATTCTACATATTTCCTTATAAACATTTAAAATCCATTAATATTTCCAGAAGTCTGTTGATTGATTTATTTACATTTTGTGTCAATTTCTAACCTCGGTACATCGATCAAACTTCTCTATCAATAGCGGTGTGTGAATGAGAAGTATTTTGTATAACAAAGTGTTGTAAATGACAGGAAGTTTGTAGAGGTCAGCCAAACGTTTAACTTGGGTTATTTAGCTGTTAATGTCATGGTCTTAAACTGTGAACTAGATGGTCTAAATTGTTCCTATATTTACATAAGGTATATTTATGATATACATTTGCAAATATACAAGAAACTTACCCTTGTGAAGATGACTAATCGCAAATTCAATGATTATTATCATAGAGTATAATTTTCATTTCAATAACTTACAAGGGCATTTGTATTTGGTAATATCACAACTGATAACAATATTTGTTATCTGTATGTATACTTTTTAAGCAATATTCAATGGGCAAGTTTTGCACAAATGATCAAATAATGTCAGCAAGTTTTGAAATGCGAATATTTTAAGAAGGTGATTGATGGTTCTTAGCATTCCTGGTCAGTTTTAATCTGACCTATTACTGTTGGGGCCAGCACACCTGTGTCGAGGCTGTCGTCGGGTGTGTCACCTGTGAAGTAGGCGTGTCAGGTGTCAGTCTGGGTGTCCACACCTCGTACATAACCTACCAGTTCTACCTGTAAACTGTTCGTACCTGTTACACTGATCAGCACTGCCTGTACAAGTCCTCCGCTTAAGGCTTGGTTCGTGACTATCGTATTGACCCGTCTCTGTGGGGCATTTTAAAATTACCTGTGTTTGTGAATGAAAGATGGAAATGCTTAATTAAATCTATGAAATAGAGTTAGGCCTGATGTCAGGTGTTGTACTGATACAGACATTGCAATGTCCGAATCTTTATGAAATGCAGGTGTTTCATTATCTAATGAAAATTTCTAAAATTTAGATTTATGACCTCCATACATGTAATTACTTTAAATCATTCCTAACTTGAATTTGAATTGGTAGTGTATTATTCTGTAATGTATAAAATCAATGTTAATTGTACTAGACTATACCTGTCCATTACTACTGAAGGTACATTAAGTATATACAGGTTTTATTTTCTTTGAAAAAATTTTTTAAACAGTTTAAATCTAATTTATACAATATAACACCATGATAAAATTGAAGGTTCTTTGAGGGAATTTTCATGACGAGGTGTAATTCGGAAGTGTGGTCATAGTGATATCAGATGTGGAAACAATGAGAACATTGACAGATTTCCTATTGTAGTTTTTTTTTTTTTTATTTACCAATGTAAGTAATTCGTATTCATTCTAACAATGCTGTATTAAAACAAATAGACAAACAGCCTGTCTCTAACTACCTATATTTATTTAACCTAGACGAGTAGCAGTCCCTACTGAGATTTACTCCAGTTTACCATGACACACAAATAGGTAGAGCCATCTCACTGAGTAGTAGTAATATGGCAAATTGGTGTGACTTTGAATTCTATTAGAATGCTATCTTGAACAAATTTTCTCAAATTAAAATGTTCAATACTGCATTTAAAACTTTGAAAATTAGATTAATTTTTTTTTCTCTGTATTTAGGCGTCAGAGAATTTTGTTTTTGCAAACTTAATTAAATTGTTGTCTCTGAACTAGACCAGATGACCTGATTGTCCATATCAACTGAATAGATTCCTCGACCTGTGAGTCACCTTCTATAAAAATGCGATTAGTTTTATCATGCTGATCGTTTGATACAGTCAGATCTTTTGGTTGGTTTATCAATCACAGACTCACACGACTTTTACTGGGAATGTTGATGCGGGTACATAGAGTAATCAATATAACCATTATCCTGATACACTTTCCAGGATATTAACTTTAATTACTAACCTGCTTTAAAACATAGGGAGGGAGAACTATCAGTGAGGACTTATCAGGATTAAGCTCCATGTTGCTGAGATTTCGTGACTAAAACTTTGTGATTTTAAAAAAATTACTGACTTATCTTCATGACATAACTGTTATGAATGTAGGATTAAACACAAGTTTATATGAAAATATGCTCTGCCTTATGATGAGGTTGGAACCAAATACCTCCCTCACACTTCAGGCGAACACACTACCACAAGGACACAAAGTTTGACCTTTGGTAACACACATTGTGTTTAGTTGTATCAACGTAGAAATTTGAAAATATAACTCTGTGAGGTCTATAAATTTTACAAAGATGGCTCTGCTAGGAATTGAACCCAGGACCTCTGATGTTCTAGCCTTACACTACCAAATCCACTCACTGAGATCTCACTGATTAAACAGACCAGTATATTGCAGCTTGGGTATATATGTTTTAACTGAAAAACTTTTCATGACATTGATATAAACTAAATATATCTTACCATGTGACTGGAGGTAATTTTTTTGACTTTTGTATTTTTGACATGATGTTCGTCATTAGTGACGTCATTTTTTTTATTCCTTTTGAAGATGTAGTTTTATTCTCATATTTTTTCATAGTTTTCCATGTCTGTGCTACATCAATCTGGATTTGTGGTTTTGAAATGTTAATAAAATTACCTTTTGAATGTCAGGTAGAATGGAATTTAATCAATTTAAAAATTTGTTAGGTATCTTGTTTAAAATTTCACTTCTCTTTTATTCACAAATAGAACTAAAGGAATATAAACCTTCCACATCACTGAGAACAGTATATAGTATCACTGAGAACAGTATATAGTATCACTGAGAACGGTATATAGTATCACTGAGAACAGTATATAGTATCACTGAGAGCGGTATATAGTATCACTGAGAACGGTATATAGTATCACTGAGAACAGTATATAGTATCACTGAGAACAGTATAGTATCACTGAGAACAGTATATAGTATCACTGAGAACAGTATATAGTATCACTGAGAACAGTATATAGTATCACTGAGAACAGTATATAGTATCACTGAGAACAGTATAGTATCACTGAGAACAGTATATAGTATCACTGAGAACAGTATATAGTATCACTGAGAACAGTATATAGTATCACTGAGAACAGTATAGTATCACTGAGAACAGTATAGTATCACTGAGAACAGTATATAGTATCACTGAGAACAGTATATAGTATCACTGAGAACAGTATAGTATCACTGAGAACAGTATATAGTATCACTGAGAACAGTATATAGTATCACTGAGAACAGTATAGTATCACTGAGAACAGTATAGTATCACTGAGAACAGTATATAGTATCACTGAGAACAGTATATAGTATCACTGAGAACAGTATATAGTATCACTGAGAACAGTATATAGTATCACTGAGAACAGTATAGTATCACTGAGAACAGTATATAGTATCACTGAGAACAGTATATAGTATCACTGAGAACAGTATATAGTATCACTGAGAACAGTATATAGTATCACTGAGAACAGTATATAGTATCACTGAGAACAGTATATAGTATCACTGAGAACAGTAGAACAGTATATAGTATCACTGAGAACAGTATATAGTATCACTGAGAACAGTATAGTATCACTGAGAACAGTATATAGTATCACTGAGAACAGTATAGTATCACTGAGAACAGTATATAGTATCACTGAGAACAGTATATAGTATCACTGAGAACAGTATATAGTATCACTGAGAACAGTATATAGTATCACTGAGAACAGTATATAGTATCACTGAGAACAGTATAGTATCACTGAGAACAGTATATAGTATCACTGAGAACAGTATATAGTATCACTGAGAACAGTATATAGTATCACTGAGAACAGTATATAGTATCACTGAGAACAGTATATAGTATCACTGAGAACAGTATAGTATCACTGAGAACAGTATATAGTATCACTGAGAACAGTATATAGTATCACTGAGAACAGTATATAGTATCACTGAGAACAGTGTATAGTATCACTGAGAACAGTATATAGTATCACTGAGAACAGTATATAGTATCACTGAGAACAGTATATAGTATCACTGAGAACAGTATATAGTATCACTGAGAACAGTATATAGTATCACTGAGAACAGTATATAGTATCACTGAGAACAGTATATAGTATCACTGAGAACAGTATAGTATCACTGAGAACAGTATAGTATCACTGAGAACAGTATATAGTATCACTGAGAACAGTATATAGTATCACTGAGAACAGTATAGTATCACTGAGAACAGTATATAGTATCACTGAGAACAGTATATAGTATCACTGAGAACAGTATAGTATCACTGAGAACAGTATATAGTATCACTGAGAACAGTATAGTATCACTGAGAACAGTATATAGTATCACTGAGAACAGTATATAGTATCACTGAGAACAGTATAGTATCACTGAGAACAGTATATAGTATCACTGAGAACAGTATAGTATCACTGAGAACAGTATAGTATCACTGAGAACAGTATATAGTATCAATGAGGATAGTATCACTGAGGATAGGACCATGCTCTGTCGGAAAACCTCTGTGTGTAATGACTACTTGTAAATATTTCACAAATATAAAGGAGCTTGTTTTAATCTTAACGTATTATCAAAATATAAAAATCAGCATTATCTTCTCAATATATATAGCCTACTTTACAACAACAGATGCTTGAACTCCTTAACATACTGATTAAAAACAAGATGCAGAAAATGATCGGCTTTGTGTTATCATCTGTCTAGTGATGCCATTGTATTGATCTCATAAATGTTCGGCAGCTGTACATTTAAGTCTTTATATATAAAATTAATCTTTATAGGTGTTGCTAAGCAACCTCTGTAGAAATGGTGTCCAATTCATTCACAAATGACATGTTAGTTTTATAGGTTTTCTCTTAAAACAGGTAACTTTCACCTGTTTCATCTATGTAATTGCAATTGCAATTAGTGTGTGGAATTATGAATATTTCACAATTATGTCCTTTTTATTAAGTTAGTTTGTAAATATTGTTATCATACACTAAAAAGATCAAAAGCTTCCTGCGATTTTCTGAGTATCCAAATGACTATTAGACTAAACAGACTATTTCAGTCTCAGCTGTATATCCTTGGTACATTCAAACTATCTCAGATATTATTTGATCTCTGTTTGACCTCTTGAAGACTTTCTGGATGATGTTTCCTTAACAGTATTGTTTGTATGACTATGGTTTGGATTTTACTGTACTGTCACTACAAGAAATTACTTCCAGGAAATATAAAGTGAACACTGGATCGAGGAGCTTCTCAGCGTTGTTCTTAGTGATTTGTGATAGGTACAGAATACGTAGATAAGGTTGTCTGACATTATTCAAATAGATTGATAACAGGATATCTGCTGAGGTATATCACTGTTGGTTTGAATTTCTGTGTAAATTAAGGACAGCTGGTGTATCTAATTTCAATTAATTGTGATGATTAATTTTACCTTTTCATTGTTCACAGAACTTCTTCATGAGGAAGGGATTTAAAACAAATTTAAAACGGACTAAAAGTGTAACCAAGCTGGACAGGAAGAGGTCTGCATCCAACATCTCTGAAAATGACACGTAAGTGCAGAATCTTTGTTCCACCTGCCTGTCAACAAATCACTCTGAATTAAAGAATGCCAGAAGTAGAGTTACAAGAACAAGGATAGTGATGGTATCAATCACCATTCATCAGCTCCAATATTTCTCATTTGGAAACTCCAACTTTCTGCAGTGTCTGCTTAAGAGATTATCAGTTTCTGCAGTTAGGTTCCTTCTTTCTGTCAATCTAATCATAGGTCAAGGTCAAAGGTCAATATTTCTGTTACTATAAATAGAAACCATGTTTCTGGCAAACACTATGTGTAGATAAAACTCTAAATTAACACACTGTTTCCTTGTTGAAAGTGCTTGTTTGGGATCACCTTTCACATATGAGGTCAAAGGTTAAGGTCACGTTTTTTTTTACTTATATATACAAAAAATTGAAAATTGGTTTCCATGGAGTATCTTGTTCACTTAATGTTGATTCAACTCAAATTTAAAACCGATCTTGAATTGCTTTAAGAATTCCTAAATAGGAATTCCTCTTCTCATTGGTGATAAAAGATAAAAAGGATTTGCTGCTATTTATTCACTATTTTAGAATTCCAATAAACAAAACATTCTGTGAGAGTTGACAGGTATGGTGTCCCTTTAGCTTAAACCCTGTTTTATTTTACTGGATTGAATCAGAACTTTCACCATTATATTGCTTTGTACCCGGTGGTGTTGTGTATTTTATATAGAGCTGCCATTATATCTATATGCTTCACTGTATTTATATTGTAATGGTATCTAACATGTACATTTAACAGATTGTGTATCAATGTATTAACGTAACACTGTATACTATACCAGTGTAATGACATAACAATTCTCAATATCTTGTAAAAGTTGTGTGTAAGACCTCTCAATATTCCAGCAAAGTCAGGAAGATTCCATTGTTACCAATACTTTTCCCTGGAGATTCAAATTTTCGTTTTTTTGTTGTTTTTTTTTCTGAGAACTATGTAATGTATCACTTGTGTCAGAAGACATCGTAGTCTGATTGGAAATACAAAAGAGTTCCATTCTGTACTGATTAAAATACAAGAGAATTTGACTGTTATGAGACTATGGCATGCAAAGTTTGCAATTGAGTTTAGAAAAGTCATCAATATTAAATCACTGAAATTTGTTGTAAAACATACATCAGATTGTAACAGCTAAAAGTGGATCAGTGATATAGAGTGATGTATGTCCAATATTTGAAAGCTGTTTGGACCCATTAATCTTCAAATAATTTTGACTAGATTTAAATGATGGAATGGGTTCTGCTTTACAAGAAGTCATCCTGCTCATTCATATTTTTATAAAGACCAATGACAAATTCTTCATTTCAATGGCAATCAGTTTAGGTGTTCAAAGTGCAACGATGGTAAAATTTTCAGTTTTGAAATTGTTCTTTTCACACGCTTTATCAACATTTATGTTGTCATCTAAAGTTCAGTCAAATTGAAAATTGTCTTGTAGAAAACTATCAATCGTGATTTTCTCAATACAATCTTTAGCGTAAGCCTTCATTCAATATTGTCCAATATTGTGAAAACCATCTATGTTTTGTTAGGTCACTTTATCACAATGTAAGTTGGAATACATACAGATTTCTCTTGGTTTTATTTCACTAAGATCGAGTATAGAATAGATTTGTATTGTGTCTTTGTTCAGTGATTGATGAGATGAATTAATGTACAAAGAAACAGAATACATGGCAACTAAATACCTCACCCTAGTTGTCCAAAGGCGCAACTAAATACCTCACCCTGGTTGTCCAAGGGCGCAACTAAATACCTCACCCTAGTTGTCCAAAGGCTGGTTACAGGTAACCAGTGACAAGTGAGAACTTTTAAACATAAGATAGGAAACAGTGATCATCATTTCAGAGCTGTAGGTTTGTTAAGACAGGTCAGATTGATATATATTTAGTGTTTATTTTGCATTTAATACTCTTGTTTGTTCAGTGGTGGTGACTTGAGTTTTTCACTTACCGTCAGTTAACTAGTAAATTTTGAATGACTGGGGTCAGATCATTAGTAAAGGGAACACCAGACTTACATTATAACATTACATTTTTATCCTAAAAATGAAATATTTCTTTTAAAAAAACCCAGTGAGTCATACAAGTAATTCTTATGTGTTTCTAGCTGAAATCCCATTCCGTATCAATGGTTATACTATAAAATGGAAAGTTTTTTACAACAAAATATACAGAACAATACAATGTTACAAGGACTCATTATTACAGGTTTTACTGTAGGTGGAAAACTACTTGTAGTTTTCTTCACAAAGTTGTATAAAAAGTTGTATTTTAATTACTTCAAGAAAAACCAAGAAAGAAGGCTTTTTATCTCTTCCTTACTCATTTTTATCTTTCTTGTTGAAATTTGACATAGAAAAAATATCATATGTCAAAATTTCATTCTTGATTTGGTGTCTTGGTGAAAATGAGTCTTTGATTGGCAGTTTACCTCTAATCTTAGTATGACTGACCTCTGGCACACTGACTGACTTCTGACCTCTGATTGAGTGACCTCTGACTTCTGTATGTCTGACTTCTTTCTGACTGACTGACTGATTGACCTCTAACTCTTGTTTGCTCTCTGATTGACTGACCTTTAACCTTTCGCTGACCTCTGGCTGACATGTAAACATCTTTAGTGTCAACCAAAAAAAAAAAACTTTTCATCACCCCACTTTTTAAAAGTTGTAGACAAGGCATTCAGATATTAGTCATAAAGAGGCTGATGTGCATATGTATGCTAAACAGAGTTAAACACTACAGAAGTATGCGGAAAAAACACTTCTTGAATGTTTCTTTCAGGAGTTTAAAGATTACTTAGTAAATGAGATAATACCACAGGAAGCATCAACTATTCTGATTCAAAGTTCATTTACAGGGTTTGTGGTAGATAAGGAAGAAGATATGTTGATAGGATCAGTTTCGGGTGATTGTTTCTTAACTGTAAGAGATAAGTCTTCTGTCTTTCCTGGTTCTGCATCAACAAGACTAGTTGTGTTTACAAAATAAATTCCTGGTGTGTGATAGTGAAGTATTTTGACAGCTTAGCCAAGTGAGTCGGATGTGAATATATTTTGTGCTGACCAGTTTTATTATCCATCTTGGTTCCGTGTGCATTGGAGAAGAATTGGAATCATTACGTTGGGAGATAATGGATGATACAGATTTACTGTTGCGGTTACAGAAATGGGACAAGTAGGTAACTAATTGATCTATATGTCTGACCAATGTGTTGCTCTTAACTGTACACTTTGTCAAAAACTTGTTCAATTTTATCAAATATTAATTTTAGTTGCTTTTATCTAACCTCAGTCTAAGTCCTTTGGTGTTCCAACCCTCACCCCTGTCAGACATTGCCTGTCTTAGCACCCTCTGACTTGTCTAAATGGTCTTTGGTATGTATATGTGATGTGATATCACTGGGGCATTGTCTGTCCTAGAACCTTCTGACTTGTCTAAATGGTCTTTGGTATGTATATGTGATGTGATATCACCAGGGCATTGCCTGTCTTACTTCAGGGGGCTTTATTTTCTGTCCCTTAATGCATTACCTATCCAGTAGCACCCTTGTCTTGTCCCAAAGGTCCTTATTTTTGTCCCCTGGGACATTGCCTGTCCCAGCAAACTCTCTTACTTCAGAGGGCTTTACTTCAGTCCCTTAGGACATTACCTATCCTAGCACTCCTGTCTTGTCCCAAAGGTCCTTATTGCTCTCCCCTGGGACATTGCCTGTCCCAGCATACTCTCTTACTTCAGAGGGCTTTACTTCAGTCTCCAAGGACTTTACCTATCCAGTAGTACCCTTGTCTTGTTCTAAAGATCCTTATTTCTGTCCCCTGGGAAATTATCTGTCCTAGTTCCATTCTTAATGATGTTAGTATCCACATTGTCTCTATCTTCTGCTGTACCCTCTAGGACCTTCCCAGTGACACAATCCCTTCATACGTAATCCCTAGATATCTGTAGCGTGTCAGGGATCTATTAAGAGTGGGTCTTGTTCGGTGTTTTACATATGATGAGCTTTTTATGACGTTGGGCTTATCACGTACTCTACCATTTCCAATTCGTTGATATGCCCCAGATAGTTTATAAATACACGTCAGCGTCATTATACCTACTAGATGCCATTCCGATGTCTGCAGCTTGATATCCCATAATTCTGATGTACGACCAATGAAACAAGATTATAGTATTGATTGATTTGTAAGGATAGTTTTGTAGTGCCCTACCTAATACTTTTTATTGGATTGTGATGGCTGGCCCTCTTCATAACATTAGAATATCTACTTTAAAGCTTGCTGGCCCTGATTATGTATATTGTCCACATAAACATCATGTATTGAGACCTTTCTGACCTTATGATGATTTAACAATTTTATAAAATTACAATAGATAATATCCTACCTTCCATAACATGTGACATAACATATGTCCCATAATATGTAACTGTATGAATACTTGTTCCTTGGACCTTAAGATGTACATAGGCCTCTCCAGATCTGACCATATACAGTGTCGCCTCAACATGAGGTATTAGCTATTGAGGTTTGTTGGCCCTTAAGGAAGAATTTTACCTGATTTGTAATCTGATCTCGTGCATCTTTGGCCCAGTCACCCTGGTGATGTACAATGTAACAAAACTGGAAGTTACAATGGCCCTTCACATGTATATCGTAGCTGCATGAAGTGAAGAATTGTGGGCCCTTATGATGTATACATTATAAAGAGATACTGACTACCCCATAGTAATTTACGAGTTGTCAATATATTGTTTTATCATCCAAAGATGCAGAATATTTAGGATAATACTTTCACACTTCTACTAGGAGTTTGGTTAGGTGCCATATAACTTTTGTAAACCAAACTTACACAGAATTGTGGGAATTGTAGCCACCAAGCTTACACAGAATTGTCAGAATTGTAGCCACCAAACAAACTTACACAGAATTGTCAGAATTGTAGCCACCAAACTTACACAGAA